CACATGGTGCAGCAGACTTTCGCTGTCTTATCTGCTGCTCCCCTCAGCAATGTACTTCGTTAATCTGACTGTTCTGCTCCCCATTCTGTCTTTGGTGAATCCTCTCACTGCACATCTGGCCTGTACCCATGTTATGTATGCATAAACTATTAATATAGTGGGCTTCTCTGTGGTAAACACTACTATAGTCTCTGAGGAAGGAAGGGAGAAGAAAAGATATGTTTTCAAAACAGACGCTTCTTTGGTGTCCAAGAAAAACCATGTTTATATGTAAAATCTTACAATGTTCAGGACAAAGTATAATTCAATTAGAAAAAGTGTAATTATTATTCAATATTTCATTTGGTAATACTTGTATTGGTCTTAAATAATAGCATTCTTCACATAACCTGAAAAACAGATGCTAAAATATAAATGCTTTATGTGTATTAAATATATTCCATAATAAAAAAATACAGTTTTTAATTTTGACAGCTTAAAAGTATGAGGGAGAGTTGCGTAAACCCTGACAGTGTCTTTAAGGTGTAACCTGTTACTTTCTAATAAAATGTTTAGCAGCCTTTTAGTCTGAGTTTCTACTTTTAACTGTAAAATATAATAGACTAAGTCTCTGTTTCTGGACAGTATTTTGGCTAGTTATGATTGACAACTGAACTATTTTTTTTTTCCTAAAAAACTAATTTAATTTCATCATTATGGCCACGAATACAACAGGGAAACCATGATGATACAATTATTTTTTTCAGCTGATAACTTTAACCATTTAGCTGGATTCTCAAGTTTAATCAACTTCTAAAATGTTCCACTTAATGCTGTAGAAATTAACGCTTATAAAAGTGAATTGCGGGCCCTCCCTGGTGGTGCAGCGGGTTAAAGCACAGCATTGAGAATCTAAAGCCCCTTCAGCAAGAATTCGATTCCCGCCTGCCCCCCGGAGGTGTCCCACATGGTGTGGCAGATCTCTCCTGACCCACCCGCTGCTCCCCTCAGCATTGTACTTCATTGATCTTCCTGTTCTGTTCCCCACTCTGTCTCTGGTGAAGTCTCTCACTACCCCTGAGCCTCTGGCCTGTACCCCAGTTCTGTATGCACAAATAAAGAAATCTTAAAAAAAAAAAAATGAATTGCTTTTTCTTTTCTTTTCTTTTTTTTTCCCCCTGATCCCTCTGTTCCTGCTATGAGTGAAACCATCCAGTATTTTTCTTTTTCTTTCTGCCTTATTTCACTAAGCATGAGCCCTTCCAGGAAAATGCACAAAATGAAGAATGGTGTAAAAAAATTTAAAAATATTTTTTAAAAGAAAAAAAAAATGAATTGCATCATAGAGTGGGGATTTTCTATCACTAGGAATAACTCAGACATAAACTACAACATAAAATGTCATACTTTCCCATAATAAAATGAAGGAAAAGAAATATTAGTTTTTAGCAGAAAACTACAAGTTAGGTGATACCTGGCAAGTTTAATACTTTGTTATTCTGTTAGGATATCTCTCCCGGGCAGGACATCGTGTTCAATTATATTCAAACTGAACCACTGTCAATTATATCACATCAACTAGTTACAGTAACTGGGAAGAAGTTGGTAGGAGTCATTATACTCTTAAATAATTATGACATGTAATTTCAAGGATAATTTGAATGATAAGTTTTATTGACAAAAAACCTTCATAGGTCAGATTATAAGGAAGTGCAAAATCTCATCAATATTTAGGCAAATTGGCAAAATACAGCTGGAAATTAGATCTACATGGTGCAATATATTAAAATGAAAAAGCTAGAGTAAAATTAATATTAAAAAGGAAAGAATATGGCTGCTTTGGTAGTAGGTGTGATGTGGTAACATGCATCTGAAGAGGTGTGAACCTGTCGCCCCTCCCTTCATATTGTGTTACCCCACTTGGAGTCAAAAATGAACATTACCTCAGTAAAATATAATACAAGATAAAATATATTAAAAAGAAAGCTAAATGTGATTAAATTAATGAGTAAATTGAATCGATTTATTTAATGAGTAAATAATTTGATTTATTTAATGAGTAACTAAATTTGATAAAGCCTTCCTTTAATGTAATGATGCAAACTAAGGATTATCTTCTGTATTAGGATGGATTTATGTGTTTAATAAAGGTGACACACTACAAACCATGATAATTCTTTCTTGTAAATCTTTACTAAACGAGGATGCATTGTGGACTAAGTGGTTTGTAATAAAGTAAACACTGAACTGAAAATAATGCAAATATATGGAAGGAATATCGATTATATCCCTTCTGGAGATAATCTGGGAGAAGGGGAATAAAAAAGGAGTACAAAATTATTACTAACAAATATAGTGAAAAAGCTTCATGTAAAATATGGTGTAGTAAATCCTTATCATTTTGTAGTGTGGTAAATCAGAAATAATAAATTATTGTTTTAATGAAGTAATTTTTAAAAAAAATCCCTTTCCTCAAAAAATGTATTATGCCCTCCCTGGTGGTGCAGCGAGTTAAAGCACAACACTAAGAAGCTTAAGCCACTTCCGCATGAGTTCGATCCCCGCCTGCCTCGGAGGTGACCACATGGCGAGGCAGACCCCTCCTGACCCACCCGCTGCTCCCGTCAGCAGTGTACTTTGTCGATCTGCCTGTTCTGCTCCCCATTCTGTCCCTGGTGAAGCCTCTCACCATCCACATTTCTGGCCTGTACCCCAGTTCTGTATAAATAAATAAATAAATCTTTAAAAAAATGTATTATGCATTGGAAAATGTATTTAAACAAGTATATATAATATATATGGACATGCAAAATCTTATTGGAGCACAATATTGTGCTAAGCTGATTCCAATTTAATACTACTCAGGGTATAATATTTAAATTGATCTTTGAAGAAGAATAAAATATTGATATTTGGAATGAGTATTATCTAAATATTGAAAAATAAAAAACATACAAAATAGCATAGATGTGGAAAATAGTTTTATTATATTTTACATAGAATGCTTTGTTAATTTGATTTGTGTGGAATCTGTGATGACCTAGGAAATGAACTGAAATGTGTTTCAGATTACAATTATAAGACTATGGAAACCATTGTATTATAAACTTAAAAATCTGGAACTTACCATTTTTTTAAAAAAAAATGAAACAGTTTTATATTTAGCAAGGAAATTGTATGCATCTCTTTTTCCATTTAAAAAATTTAGAATCATCTTGAAAACAGTACTCATGTTTCCATCCTGTTTTGTTTACAGCATTTCCCTATCTAACCCTTCCAGTACCCAAAACTTTTTTTTTTTTAGATTTATTTGTTTATGCATACAGAGCTGGGGTACAGGCCAGAGGTGCAGGGGTCAATGAGAGGATTCACCAGAGACAGAGTGGGGAACATAACAGGCAGATCGGTGAAGTACACTGCTGAGGGGAACAGCAGGCGGGCCAGAAGTCTGCCAAGCCATGTGGTCACCTCCTGGGCAGGCGGGGATCCAATTCATGAGCAAGTAGCTTTAGCTTCTCAGTGCTGTGCTTTAACACACTGTGCCACCAGAGAGGGCCTGCTTCACCTTTTATGGGAGATGTTCCTTACTTCTGCAAAGTTTTGCAGGACTTCTTTTTTCTCCAAATAGTTATTCACTTCCTTGTGCTCAGACTATGCGTATTTTTATAGTATTTGTCTAATATAGCTCCCTCACTTGATTTGAATTCAAGGAAACTACTGGTCTGCAGTGTCTGCAGTATCTTTCTATATCTTCTAAGCTTCTAAGATTCTAATTGAGTAAAATCAGAACTGTCTTGGTATACAAAACTCATCAACAATGAAGAAGGCACACTGAATAAAATTAGGGATTATAACTAGATGGTCGGTCCCTAGAATAGGAGTTTATTGAAAAGTAAAGTAAGATGAATTGGGAAATGGAAAATGGATTCAATGGATGGAGACATGAGTACTGTTTTCATGATTCTAAATAACTTAGAGCAGGATTGTTAGCACATGTGGTTAATTTTGCTAAAGACAGATATGAATTCTCTTTGGTGGGTTGTCTTTATTATGTCCTTCAGCACATCCAATTTTTTTATGTTTTTCATTTTATTATATATATAATTGTAATGGAAAGAAGGTATATTTAAGGTTTTCTTTTTATTGAGGTAATATTGGTTTGCATTACCCTCAGAGTTTAGAGATACAGGTTCACACATCTTCCGATTTATGCTATTGCAGCATATCCACCATTAAAACAACCACAATCTTCCTCCAGTCCAGTCAGTCCTCTCCCTACTCTCAGTCTCCTCTTGCAGTAGGTTAATTCTGTGGTAAGATTTCTAGGGTTTGTTTTGGTTCAGTTTTATTGGTTTCTTTGTCTTTTCTTTATATTTCACATGAGTGAAATCATCTGGTAGGTGTCTTTATTTCACATAACACAGTCCCCTCCAGTTCCATTTGCTGTTGTAAGTGGCAAGATTTTATGTATTTTTTTATAGCTGTGTAGCTATGATTGCATAAATACACACTTTTCTTTCATTAGACACCAGTTGTTTCCATAACTTGACTATTCAAAATATTGCTATAAGAAACACAAAGACGCATATATCCTTTTACATTATGTTTTATATTGTTTGATTAGGTACCTAGGAATGGATTGTTGGATCACATGACAGATCTGTTTTTAGTAATTTGAGAAGATGCCATACTGTTTTCCAAAGAAGCTGAATCTTTTCAGAGGTTCAAACATCATAACAATTCCCCCTTAAAATTTTCTTTTAGAATATAAATATGACCTACTACTTCTTTTTTCTGAAACCTACAATTCATTCTTGAGCTAATTGGAACTGTAATACCGAGAGTGTGCAATAGTGAAGAACATCAACAGGAAGATGAATGTAACTTTCCTCCTTTCCTTACAAAGAAGCACTGACTGGTCCCACTAGTCTTAAGATGTGGCTGTTCAAAAGTTTAAGTTCTGTTTTATTCGTTTTCAACTGACTCAAAATTAACTATGTTATTTTTTCTCTTCTCTACAGTATGCTGTCTGGCTAGTCCTCTGGGTTACGTGGAATGTGTTTGTTATCTGCTTCTATTTGGAGGCTGGGGACCTTTCAAAGGTAATTTGTCATCTGATTTGCCTGAGTCATTAGTCGTGTGTTAACCGTCCTAAATAAGGTACAGGTCACCCACATGGGTCAATTAGGTGCACCCCACATGAGGGTGAATTGAGAGATAGGTTCATTTATATTTCTGCATTCCTGCCATCACATATGTATTTGTGTTTCTCAAAATTATACTATTCTTTTGAAAGTAAAGCTTGTGGAAATATTATTATAGTGACTATGTAGTATTTTCAATTTCTGCATTAGAATTTTTGCAGAGAAAAATCTCGAAAATTTCTGAAATCAGCTTAATTTGCATATTAATCTGCTAAAGACTTTTTTTCTTTTATGGATGCAAATATCAATGCATTAATCCTGCAATTGTTAAGTTTTATATAAACAAAACTGTTACATAGGGATGATATTACACAAATAAACAAAATTAATATTTTACTCAATAATTATCTAAGGAAAACTTAAAATATTATCTTTGTCATTTAGATTTCCTTATTTTGTGCTTTTTATCAATATGCATTGCTATCATATTTATAAAAGAACGCTTTTACTATTTAAGTAATATGTTTTTTATATATGTAAAATAACATTCTCCTTTCTTCAGGACATTAATAGCAAATAATTCAAATGAGATAACCCACTCGAGATAGTACTATATCTTACTTGAAATACTTGAATTACAGATTTGTACTTTTTCACATTAACTTTAAAGACAGGCAGTATAAAATGTTCTTGTACTGATCCCTTATTAGAGCAGAAAAACCCTGCAAAGTGGTTGACAGTACTAAAATTCAGAGATGATAATCTGCTTTAAAATGTTACGAGAGTTCCATAAGCACCAGGAACTACATTTCGAGGGTCTTAATTTTGTGGGGATATAATTTTGGTATATTATACTAGTATATCCATCTATCACTCAGGCGACTTACAAAATACTCTGAGCAATTATGAAAATTTTCATCATTTTAGTGATATAAGTGGCTTTATATTAAAATAAAATTATTGATCTGTTTGTTCAATAATAAATGCTAATGGATAAAATAAAAGGGTGACATTTTGAATGAGATAGAACCAAATGCCTGGAACCTGTGGTTTTATTTTGAGATTTTGGACAAATCTGCTCTGTGGCCTTAAAAATCTTCCCTGGTGGGTGACATTTCTGTGGTTCTTGTGGGGCATCATCTCCACACTCTGACAGCAGGCAGTGCTTCCCTAAAGGTACTGTGACCAATGAAAGGGAATTGTCCAGGCAAATCTAGAAGGACACAGACAGGATTGCTGCTTCAAACTCACATTTGCCACCTTGCGAGAAAAGCAGGCATGCTTCCCAAGGACTTCAATTCCTTACCCAATTTATACATCTCTACTATTCTATAATCCAGTTTGTTCAAAGAAATTCCACAGAAGAATGACTTTTTTTTTTTTAAGATTTATTTATTCATACAGAACTGGAGTACAAGCCAGAGATGCGGAGGGTGAGAGGCTTCACCAGGGGCAGAGTGGAGAGCAGAACAGGCAGAAAGAATGACTTTTAATGATATTTTCAATTTCAAATAATCACCTTAAAAATTGCAAGGCAGGCCCTCCCTGGTGGCGCAGAGGGTTAAAGCACTGCACTGAGAAGCTAAAAGCCACTTCCTCATGAGTTAGATCCCCGCCTGCCCCGGAGGTGACCACATGGCCTGGCAGACCTCTCCTGACCCCCCCGCTGCACTGAGAAGCTAAAAGCCACTTCCGCATGAGTTAGATCCCCGCCTGCCCCGGAGGTGACCACATGGCCTGGCAGACCTCTCCTGACCCCCCCGCTGCCTGTTCTGCTCCCCACTCTGTCTCTGGTGAAGCCTCTCGCCGCCCCTGCACCTCTGACCTTTACCCCAGTTCTGTATGCATAAATAAATAAATCTTTAAAAAAAATTGCAAGGTAGATTTTCTGGCATATTGGTAAAGTAAAATAATCTAGCAGATCATAGACTTTGTTTAATATAAAACAGAGAGAGGGATGTGAGCATTTGTGGCTGCACAAATGTTCTGTAGTGGTGCTCACTGCTCACTACATGCTTATTTGTACCAGTTTTTTCCTCCCTTCCCTTCTCAAAGTATTTGAGAAAGATGTATTCATACCATTTAATTCTTTAGCTTCTACAACTGCTTCATATTCTTCGATGAAGTGTCTGAAGGAAGCAATGGTGATTGAAAAAGATACAGCTCTACGAAAACTTGAAAATGGTTTCCTAAAATGGTTTATAACACTTAGATTACAGAATATAAGCCATTTTATCTCACCCCACAAAAAATGTAACAGTTTAACCATAAGAATCAGCTAGTTTGTTAAAGTTGAGGAAGAATTATGGTAAACAGAGTCAGGGTGGAAATTCTGAAGACTGTGTATTTTACAGAAGTGTGCTAATACCACGAAGTGCTGTGTAAACAGGTGAATAATGAAAATTAGCAGGCAAGTGATAAAAAAGATTAAAGTATTAAAAGAAATGTAGTTATCTGTTACAGTGTAGAATTTGGTGATGTCATTTTCATTGTACCTTTTTCTGCTTTTCTCCTAAACTATCTGCCATACATTATGAGTGAGACAGGGAGAAGAGTCATTGACCAGCCTAGTATGTATATTTAGTAATGAAATGGCTTGATTACAATAATACACAGGACTCCCCTGTTCGATCTTCAGCTTGCATAGTTAACATATTTTAACCATACTTGCATAGTTAACATATTTTCATGATGGAGAATTCTGTTTTTATTTTATTGTAATTTTTATTTTAATGTCACTATTAAATAATGGGAATGCACATAAAACAATACATATGTAGCAACAAAGGAGCATATAGATTACATAAATATTTCCACATTATTTGCATAAGTGGTTTAGAAATTAGTGTTGGGAGTAGATATTTTAAAAGATCCACAATGTGTTACTTCCTGACTTGATGTTTTAATAGATGAACTATTAAGGAAATAGCAAAGACAATCCTTTATAGTATGGTGTTTCCTAATTTTGTAGGCAACTGCCTTGGAGCAGTAAATGCAACTTCTACTATTTGATTTATAGATTTGAGAATTCCTCATATGAATGGTCTTATTTATTTTTTGTGGTATTATTCTGAGCAATGGTGCTTCTCTTTCTCATATATAAATAGAGAAAATGGGAACCAATGTCAGCTACTAATTGTGTTGAGTTACTTTGAAAAAAGTTTTGCTAATTTTTATATAATTTATAATATATAATTCTGTAACATATAATCTATGGTACTAATGCGTAGCAGTTAGAAGAAAAGCATATGTAGTAATTTACCTGTTAGGTTCATCATCTGGGAAGATGAAATAATGTTTGAGGAGTAATAACTAGGAAAAATATGGGTGTTCTTCTGGTTGTAAGTAAAAACATTTTTACTAGATGGGTAAATTACTCAGGCTGAAATTATATCCTAGCATGTTTCTTTTTCTTTAAAAAATAAAAAAAAAAGACTTATATAGCATGAAAGAGTAACCAAGGAATTATTTTATACTTAGAAATAACACAATTTGTTTTTATTTAATCATTTGAGATTAACAATGCTGCAACATATCTCTCTGCTTTCATTATATTATCAGAAATGTATTTTGTTGAAATACAAAAATGAACACATTTAATAGCGACTTCAAGAAACTTATCACATTTTAATAAATTTAATAGAGGCTTCTGAGATCTAGATATAAAATTTCTTTATAAAAAATTTGCTGAGCCCTCCCTGATGGTGCAGGGGGTTAAAGTGCAGCACTGCAAAAGCTAGCCACAGCTGGTTTAACACTAATTCAGTCTGGCTGGGGAAGTGACCAACATGGCATAGCAGACCCGCTGCTCCCCTCAGCAGTGTACTTCGTCGGTCTGCCTGTTCTGCTCCCCATTCTGTCTCTGGTGAATTCTCTCACTGCCACTGCTTCTTTGGCCTGGAGCATACTTCTGTATGCATAAATAAATAAATCTTTAAAAAATAATTTAAATCAAATAAAATAAACAAAAATTTTGTTATATAAAAAAATCATTTAAGATTGTGACATATTTTAACAATGGGGAAAGAAAATCAGTCTCTTGTGAGTGTAATAGACGGGAGGAAGATAAAACCTTTCATAAACTGTAGGCAACAGAGAACAACCCTTAAAAGCAAATGTGAGTGCTGTTTTGAATAATGTACTGTTGCAAAAATCCCAATTTTATTCCTTCAATAAAAAAATGAGTTATTCATTTATAGAGATATCTTATATTTGGATATCTTTTGTTCATGAAATAAATGTTTATACCACATTTGCTTTTATGACTTCATATGCAAAAATGATAATAAATAAATCTGTGGTGAGTAGTTTTTATTTGAATTAATTGTTTTTCAAAAAGTAAAAATATATGGTACTAATAAACAATTTACCTCTCATAACAGATTTAAAGCCAAATTCACCAAATATTATGATTATTTATTATTATGCTTTTTCTTATTGCTTAATTTAATACAATTTCAACTAACTATTCCTAACTAATTGAAAATAGCTTCATTTCCAAGTATCAAATAGGCTTTGCTTTAGGATATAGGATAAAATGTTTTACATGCTGTTAAATATTGAATATAATATAATTTTCCCTAACTTAGAAATGCACCAACCTATTATATTTTGATCAAACTATCACAGCCTTTCTTCTTTTGTTTCCTTTAAAAGTGTCATGGATTAACCTACTTATTTTTTTCCTCAGTTTTCTTTTCTTTCCTAACTTTCTCAGCTTCCTGTTAATATCCCTTTCTCAGCTTCCTGTTAATATCCCTAAAGTGAGGAATATATACAATGAACCTTATTTCTCTGACCACATTCATTCACTTGAAAGTGGCAGTCGCTGTTATAATTTGAACTAACTTCTTTACAAGTGTGTTGCCACATTTATATATTCTGTTCTGACCTTGTTGCTACGTTAAAATCTCACATTTCCAATATTCTGCTAGTGTCATGCCAATTCCATTGTCACC